TTGGGAGCTGTTTGTTCATTTGTTCATCCATTGCTTTATGCAACAAACATTTGGAGGCTACTGATTGTATGCTAGGCATTGCTTGGGTCAGTGTAGGGGGGTATGAGAAAACATTATACAAATATACCAAGACAGAAAGAATTCTGCGTGGGAAATGCCACTATGGAGACTGGTTTGATTTGAGTAGAGAATATAAATTGATCGATAATGAACCCTAAGACTTGACTCTTAAGATGGGGCCAGTGTGGAAAGTCTGGAATCGATGTGTTCCTGAAGATTGGGATTACTTGAACCGCATTATTTTTTCAGCTTTAGTATCTGTCATGTCATACTCACCCTGACCTGGTTCAGGCCCTCATGCCATAAGAACTGAATTTCAGCCAAGCCTCCTTTATAGTACCCTTGCCTTTAATATCAGGGTCCCTTTATCTATCCCTCACACCACATGCCAGAATTATCTTCCTAAATCACAACTTTGATAATGGCCCTCCCCTACTGACATCCCTTAAATGGCTTCTCATTACCTTTAAGTCCAAACTCATTAGTGTAACATTCAAGGACCTCCCATGGGTGGGCTCTAACATTTTATTTCTGACCATACCTCTTACCAGACCTCATTGTGTACCACACCCCCTAGGCCAAACAGTAACTCTACTTTCCTGAACAAACCCTGTACACTCTTGTTCTAGGCTTTGCCTCATGCTGCAGTGTCTTCCTTCTTTCACTGTACCTACTGAAACTCCTCAACATCAAAGCCATATCCTATGCTCTCCTTGAAGCCTTCCTGTATAGTTTCCTATCTGTCTACCCTCTGCCCAAGCACAAAACACTTTCTCTTCACTTTGTTTCTATCCTTTATTATTGTTGTTCGTTGTTAGTTGCTGTTGAGTTACCTCTGACTCATGGCAACCGCATGTACAACAGAACAAAACATTGCCTAGTCCTGTGCCATCTTCACAGTTGTTGATATGCATGAATCCATTGATGTGGCGACTGTATATTCTGAGTGCCTTCCAATCTAGGGAGCTCATCTTCCAGCACTATATTAGACAATATTCTCTGGTGGTCCGTAGGGTTTTCACTGGCTAATTTTTAGAAGTAGATCTCCAGGCCTTTTTTACTAGTCTGTCTTAGTCCGGAAGCTCTGTTAAAACCTGTCTGTCACCACCACACTTCTGTTAGTTTGTTGTACCATGGTGGCTTGTGTGTGGCTATGATTCTAGAAGCTCTGCCACTGGTATTTCAAATGTCAGCAGGATCACCCATGGTGGACAGGTTTCAGCTGATCCTTTGTTTTAGTACATATAAAATTCTGCTCTCTTGTAGCATTGTTTTTCAACTCCTCTTTAAGAGTGTAACCTTCTTGAAGAGATTGTGTTTCTGTTGTATCTAAGTGTCTTGACTTGAAGAGAGATGAAAAAATATTGAATTGAATTTTCATTTTTTGTGGCTGTCTTATTTCTTTAGTTTATAGTTTTAGAACTTTGTCTTATAAATTAATTGATGATCTATGCAGTTAAATATAAGAAATGAACTATTTTTTTAGATGGATGATACTTTCTTAATAATACATCCACTTCATACCACCATCCATTTCATTGAAGTATCAATTTAACCTTCTTTTATCTCATTGTGAAACCTGCAACATACATTGGCCTGCTCTAGTTCAAAGGTCCAAATGGATTTAGTTTAGAAACTTTTTTTTTTTACATTTTATTTATTTTGTTGTTATTGTTGAGAATATACACAGAAAACACATACCAATTCAACAGTTTCTACATGTAAAATTTGTACATCGATTACATTATTTGAGTTGTGCAACCATTCTCACCCTCCTTTTCTGAGTTGTTCCTTCACCATTAACATAAGCTCACTGCCCCCTAAGGTTCCTATCTAATGTTTCAAATTGCTGTTCTTAGATCCTATATAGATAGTTCTTAAAAAAGCATAATGCTCAAGGCAGACTTTTTTTTACTAGTTAAGCTAAATCATTGTTTGGTTTTAAGAAGACTTTAAGGAATATTTTTGGTTTAAGATTTAAAGATTATCTCAGGGATTCATCTAGCCTTCATGGCTCCAGAAAGTCTGGAGTCCATGAGAATTTGAAATTCTATTCTGCGTTTCCCCCGCTTTGATCAGGATACTTTTATACTATCCTTGATCAAAATGTTCAGTAATGGTAGCCAGGCACCATCTAGTTCTTCTGGTTTCATGGCAAAGGAGGCAGTTATTCATGGAGGCCATTAGCCACACATTCTTCACCCTCCTACTCCTGGCTCTCCTTTTTCTTCTGTTGCTCCTGGTGAATTGTTGTGCCTTCGATGGCCGCTTGCAAGCTTTTAAGACCCCAAGTACTTTGCGGTTAACTAGGAGGTAGAACAGAGGCACTAAACACATTAACTGGGTCAATTAACTAGGATGTCCTATGAAACCATGACCCCAAACCTCCAATCCAAGAAACCAAATCCTGTGAGGTTTTTCATTGTACATGAGCAGTCTCAGCAGCCACTTTTTTTTTTTTTTAAATTGTTGTAAATATATCTGTCACACAACTTTTGTCAGTTCAACTTTTAGAAACTTTTTTTTTTGGAGACTATGCCTCACCTTTTTCCTGAACCCAAGAATAATTTTATAGGTAGGTATCCAAAACCCACTGCCATCAAGTCAATTCAGACTCATAGCAACCCTATAGGTTAGAGTAGAACTGCCCCATAGGGTTTCCTAGCCTGTAAATCTTTCATGGAAGCAGACTGCCACAGCTTTCTCACGTGGCGCATCTGGTGGTTTTGAATCGCTGACCTTTTGGTTAGCAACCGAGCGCCACCAAGGCTTCTTAGGTAGGTATCGGGGATGTAAAATATAACGTTGGAGTCCTCTCAGAAGAAGTAAACCACTAAACACTACTGCAATAAGAAAGCGTGTCTCACAATTTGTATGGATCTGAGTTATAAGCTGAGAAGGACCCACTGGACCTTTACTGTCTAATGAGCAGGAACATGTCCTAAGGCATCTTGATCTCTTTGACAGCTAGTGTGGCGCCTGACACTAGTAAGATTGGCCTCAATGAGTGTTGAGTTTAATATGATTTTTTAAAAATTATATCAGGTTTTGGGCAGGTAGGCAGATCAATCTAGATGAGACAAATAATCTTACCAAAAAAAAAAAAAAAAAAAAAAACACAAAATGTCATCTGGTCTAACTGCCCTGCTCGCTTCCCAAGAGGGGACTCTGTCCCTTTTGTGGCATGGGTCACAGGTGGCTATTAAGAGTTTACTGGACAGCTTCAGCAAAGGTCCTCCCTCCCTCACTGGGCCAGCCCATTCCTTTCCTGAAATGCTGTATTGGATTTTCCTCTAAGTGGAAGCAGTTGTAAATGTGTCTTTCTGTGGTGCTGAGCAGTTTCCAGGAGCTGAGTATGTTCCTGGGCATCTCTGGGGAGCAGGGTCCATGCTGGAGCCCAGCTGCCTTGCTGGCTGCCTTCCTCACAGGGCGTCAGCTGAAAATGTGCTGACTCCAGGGGGATAAGACACACACCCCATCTTCAGGTTCTCAGTTCTTGGCTGTTCTGAACATGCCTTTGTAGGCACTGTTGGGCATTTTCTGGTGGGCACATGGGCTGGCTAGTTCTTTAAATTGACAGGCTCAGAAGAGGAAACTTAGAGTGTTCAGCTGTCTAAGAAGGTTTGAGTGTGATCTGACATATAGCCTGAGGGTGGAGGGGATTATGTCTGGAGGTTTTGTGCAGCCCCAGGGCTCTATAGTTTCTCTTAGGGATAAGCTTTTGGGCTTCGTTTTGAGCTTTGAAAATTGTGAGTATGAAGTTGGGATATGGGGTGAGTAAAGGTGAAGCGTAGCTTGACTCATCTTGAGATGGTCCAGAGAGAGCCTGACTGATTTTTCTCTTCTCCTCTGGGAGAGATGATGATCCTGGGGTGATTCCTGACACTCCCCCAAACCAGTTGAAACCAGTTGCCATCAAGCTGATTCTGACTCCGGGAGACACCATGTGTGTCAGAGTAGAACTCTGCTCCACAGGGTTTTAAATGGCTGATTTTTGGGAAGTAGATTGCCAGGGCTTTCTTCTGAGGTGCCTTTGGGTGGACTTGAACCTCCAACCTTTTGGTTAGCAGCCAAGTGCATTAACTATTTGCAACACCCAGGGACTCAGGCCTGTAAAATGTCTGTGCTCTCTCTCTTTTTCATTGTTACATAGACACAGTGCCACTTTCTTTAAGGAACTAGAAAAGGAATTAAAACCATCCAGAATGGCTGTTTTTATCTAAATATTTTATTACAGCTAAATGTCTTTGGTGTCAATGGAAAAAGTTTTAGAGCTTGTTTTGCATTAATCACAGTCATAAGTGATTTCCCACCACACACTTTGTTTCCCTTTTTCAAGCCTTGTACCTAAGCTTTAAGAAATAAGTGGAAGACTTATATATCCTTGAAATTATTTGTAATAAAAAATTATAAAGAAAGGTCAAGAGATCAGCTAAATGTCCATCCTCGAAGGGGATGGAGAGCTTGGCCCAGTCAGCTCAGGTGCTGTGATCAGCTTTGCAAACTGTCCTTCCCAGGTGAGAGGGAAATGGTGCAAGAAGCCAACCAGAGGCACTTCCCACAGACCCGAGCATCAACACTTTAGACTTCCCTTTCGTCATGGTTGGTTTTGAGGGTGACTCAGCCAGTGGCTTCAGTATAAGAAGGCTCCAGCTTTTACTAGGCTGGAGGACTTGCCCTCTAATCTTTATACTTGGACCCATAGCCATACAAATTAATAACAGTCCATTATGAAGGCACGCGTGTGTGTGCGTGTGTGTACTTGCTTCCCTTTTGCTCCAGTATAATCCAATTTGGGGATGTGTACATTCTGGTTTGATTTCTTTCCATCATTTTTCCTGATGCATAGATAAGTGGGAAGGGGCGTCTAGAACTTATATTGAGTTTCTTTGGGGGTCATTTTCTTTCCTGCCTTGCCTAATTATTTCTCTGCTTCTCAGTTGCAGATCTGATCACTTCTGAGCACCTCACCGTGTCTCCATCCCTGGGACTCTGAACCCAGCAGCTGCACCCCTGTGTTCTTGGAATTTTGGGCATCCTAGATTCTGACCTTCCTCTTTCCCCCTTGCCCCTTCCCCCTCCTGAGTACTCCTGAAGACTGTAGGATTGCCATGGAGTCCAGGGAGATCTTAAGCAGCTCCCGGCAAAGGGGGGGCGAGTCGGAGTTCCTGCCAATGTCCTCAGCCAAGCCCCCGGCTGCCCCCGGTTGTGCAGGGGAACCTTTGCTCTCTGCTCCAGGAACTGGGAAGGGGATCCCAGTGGGCGGAGAACGCATGGAACCGGAGGAGGAGGATGAACTGGGCTCAGGGCGAGATGTGGATTCCAACTCCAATGCAGACAGTGAGAAATGGGTGGCAGGAGACGGCCTGGAAGAGCAGGAGTTTTCTATTAAGGAGGCGAACTTCAGCGAGGGGAGTCTGAAGCTGAAGATTCAGACCACAAAGAGGGCCAAGAAACCCCCAAAGAACCTGGAGAACTATATATGCCCACCTGAGATCAAGATCACCATCAAGCAGTCTGGAGACCAGAAGCTGTCCCGGGCTGGGAAAAATAGCAAAGCTACGAAGGAGGAGGAAAGAAGCCACTCCAAAAAGAAGGTAGGGAGCCCTGTCTTACAGACTTTATGTTGGTTTTCGCAGTTCGATGCACAAGTCTTTAGGGTCTATTCGCTTATGACTTATTTACTTCTGAATTACCAACTCCTTGATGGGATTATTTAGGGCCTGTATTTTCAGGGTCCTCAGAAGAAATGCCTCTGATATAATCTAGATTATAATGTCTAATTTATCATTGTCCTTTCTATCCATCTGAAAAAAAAATAGGTACTAGAATTGCAGTTCCGGAAGAGTTCCTACTTATTGTATAGTGGCCAATGGCTAGGTTAGCCCAGGCCAAGCAGTAACAATATTTTGAATTTGTTTGCTTTAATATTTGCATGTGTTCTTATTAGTCAAGAGTGGAGTGTTGGAAAATTTTGGTCATTCAGAACAGTCAAGAGTCATTATAACCTCCTTTTGGTTTCAGTCATTACTACTGCATATCTTTCTGGAAGAGGTGAGTCTCTCACCTGACTAAATAAGCCCAGTGTTCATAGTAATGAAGGCTTTTACAGGCTGAGAAGTCATCATTCTGAGAGCCAGTGGTGAGAGAGAAAAGGAGCAGGTGATTGGCCTGAATGTTTGTCTAAGACATCATAGATTTTTAAGATTGGGCTTTGGATGAACTTGGTTGGTTGTCATTTTCTTTCGAAAAGTCAGACATGGGTACAGAAGGTAGCTCTCCAGGTGATTGGTGATGTCTGTTAGTTAGGAATGAGTGGGTCCAGGTTTCACTCTATTTTATGTCACTGGGGGTTACAGTGACCTTTGCAGCTGGATGGGGTATGGCATTCGGCTGTGGTGGCAAGTGACTACCCTAGTCTAGAAAGTGGTTGTTTCCAAGTGTCTCTGGGGGTTAGGAATGTCTCTTTGGGGCTTGGCTGAGGACACCCCCTTTTTAACAGAGTTTTAGAGCTCTAGGTTGTAGGTGTTAATCTGAGTTTCTGTCCCTCTCGCTCACATTCAATCGTTTGTTTTGGAGCTAGACATGATAGATTAGATACAAATGGCACAGATGAATGAGCCTCTGTCCTTTATAGCCCGGAGATAGTCTGCAGTATATGTGTTATCACTAGTTTTTGAACATTGTCAATAAAACTGCTAGGAATTGTGTGTTTCATTAGGATAGGGCTGGTGTCCTTCCTCATGCTAGGTGATTTTGCTGATTTGTTGCATTCAGAATCCAAAGATTTGTGGTAGAAGAGACTTTCTGAGGTGACAAACTCCTCTTGGTTTGTGCAGAACTATCCTGATTTTAAAATTGAAAGTCCTGTGTCCTGGGCCCCGTCAATCTTAGGCACACTAGGGCAGTTGATCACCTGACTTTAACCTTTTGGAACACAAAGGAACCTTTAGAAATTGGTTGCTTTGTTAGAGTGTAGAAGTGGTATTTCCCCACTACCCCCATTACAACTTTGCAGTGATTTCCGGGTTCTCTGTCCATAAAATCAAAGGTTATCTCAAACCATGCAGGAAGTTTTAAGATTCTTACAAGAAAATGCAATAGTTGCAATCAAGCTTCACTAAGAAAGTGAGGCTTTGCTTTGGCGTTGGGTCTCTTTGGCTTTGAAAATGAATATCTTTGTTTCTGGCCACTGAGATGTCCAGTTCTTTGTGTGTTGTTGGATTTTCATGTGGGTAGGACGTCTTGAAAACTGTGGTAACTGTTTTCTCTCCACCATCCCCCACTCCCCACGCACTGCCAACATTTGAACAGTGGTCTACAGTATTGAGTGTACAAACCCAAATTCACTGCCCTAGAAAAGGGATAATATGTCCTCCTGATCAGGTACTACTTTCCCTAAAGCCACAAGAATTTTCCCAAATATAGCCTTCTGCACATTGGAATGCCCCAGAATAAAATTTTGGGATTTGTGACATGAGGATGATTTCAATGCTGAAATGTGCAATGGACCTCCATTCTCATATCTAAAATTCTCAGGCTGGTCATTCTGACCCAAAGAGCTGGATGCCCTTTATGGCCCTCATTTGAAAAAGAGATGAAATCGCTCATTTGAATATGTGACTTGCCAAGTAAGCATTTCTAAGCCTCGGGAATTGGAGGGGGCAGAAAGGAAAGAGAAGAGCTGAAATTCAATGCAGACTGCTGCCTTATGCTGATTCTATGATGGGAATACCCTACAAAAATTGTTAAATTCTCAGGAGCTTGTTTCATACTGTACTTCTTCATCCTTCCTACATGTATTTATTTTCAGAGCTCTTACCTTCCAGAAAAGAATTGATATCATTATCAGCTCTGAGTCTCAATCACTTGGTAGAAGATGAGAACATTCTCTGATCTCTGTTGGATTAGAACGTGAGCTTTATTACTCTTCAGTTCCTGTTGTTTTGAAAACATGGGACTGAGCAGGAAGTGAGCTTAGGTTGAGGGCTGGACACCTTGCCTACCATTTGTACTGAAAAGTTCAGAGGCATGAAGCTGTGGAATTTACTTATTTATGTGGATGTGAAGTATGTGATCAGTAACTTGGGAGAGAGAAAAGGATGAAGATAGTATTTTATAATCAACAGATCAGTGTCTAAACCTGAAATCATGTCTTTTGGGTCTTTTTTTATGAGGTGAGCCACTCGTCGAAGAAATACATATTGAATGGCCCTGAGAATCAGGCCTTATGATAGGCGACAGGAAGGAGATGCCACTGGGGGCTGATCCTTGAGCTGGCAGAAATGCTGACTTGGGGCAGGGGTTGGCAAACTATGGCCTGTGGGCGAAATCCTGTCTCCCGCCTATTTTTGTATAGTCTGTGAGCTAAGAATGGTTTTTAGGTTTTTAAAGGTTAAAAAAAAAATGAATAATATTTTGGAACATGTGAAAATTGTATGAAATTCACATTTCAGGGTTCATAAATAAAGTTTTATTGGAACACAGCCACATCAACATGTTTACATTTTGTCAATGCCTGCTTTGAGGACAGATTTGAGTAGTTGTGACAGAGACTGTATGATTTACAAAGCCTAAACTATTTACTCTCTGGCCCTTATTAAAAATATTTGTTGACCCATGACAGAGGGGAAGCCAGAATTTCAGGATAACAAGGATTTGTTTTATTTTGTTTTTAATGATTCACCTCCAGACTTGGAGGCTGGAGGAAATTGGGTGTCATGTTTTTTTTTTTTTTTTTTTTTTGTGTGTGTGTGTGTGTATGTGTGTGTATGTGTTTTTAGCAGACCAATTAATTTTGTCCAAGTCATTGCTTGATAGCCTCAGGCAAAGACAACTTATGGTGGATCCCAAATGATTTTCTTTTTCATAAAAAGAAAGCTCCATAGGATGATGATAACATTCCTTGTGCATTACAGGCTACTTCTCTGTAGGTTAGTTAACTCTGTTTCTCCATGGTCCACTGGAGTGAAGTAGTACATGTGTGACATCCTCAAGAACTGTATTTCGAATTTCAAACCTAGGAGCAACCCTCCATAGGGGAAGGCATGATAGATGGTCAGGGAACATGGCTCCTTTAGTGATAGGATTTCAGGAGGACCCACTGAAAATACTCCCCCATTGGCTCAAGGCTGCATGACTCCTCTAGCCAGGGGACATGTTATTCCCCTTCCGGACAAAAGATGGACTGAATATTAAAATGCTTCCTGGGAGAGAGTTTTATGATGAATAGATTTGCATGAGGTGTGAGGGCAGTATTTGACGGGAAGTAAAGGCTGAGGGGAGAGCTCATAACATATTTCAGGGCCTTAGGACTGTCCTTTGGACAGGTCCTGGTTGATAGGTGGACTCCAAAAATGTAAAGTTATTGTTTATCATAGGACCAACAGTGTTGCACCTTAAACTTAATCAGTTAAGTGGTTTAATAACTTTGTTGTTCTTAGTTGCTGTCAAGTCAGATGCCTCATGGTAACTTTATATGTAACAGAATGAAACATTGCCCCGTCTTGCGCCATCTTCATGATCATTGGTATGTTTGAGTCCATAGTTACAGCTATTGTGTAGGGCCTTTCAACCTAGAGACCTCATCTTCCAGCACTAGATCAGACAATTTTCTGTTGTGATCTGTAAGGTTTTCATTGGCTCATTTTCAAAATTTATCTCCAGGCTTTTCTTCCTAGTCTGTTTTAGTCTGGAAGCTCCACTGAAATCTATCCACTGTGGGTAACCCCACTGGTATCTGAAATACCAGTGGCACAGCTTCCAGCATCATGGCAACATGAAGCCACCACGTTATAACAAACTGACAGACAGGTGGTGTTTAATAACTTAAGCTTTCTTTGATCTCCTTCTAGTTCACTCAATACAAACAACAGAGAAAGTGAGGATGAGGCTCTAGAAGCAATTTCAGGAGAAACACGTGCACATAAAGAATACTGGCATGGGGACAGGGTTTTGAGGAAGCTCTTAGCTGGGTCGAGCTTAGCAGCTCTCCTCTTCCTGGAGGACCATGGGAATCGGAGGCACCCATCCAGATTCAACAACCAGAGAAGAGGGAGGTCCTAGACAAACCCTATACACTGACCCAGGTAAAGAGATGTGGTATGGCAACCTGACACCAACTGGCTTCGTTATTTTTGGATCCAGTGTATAGCCTTGCTGAGACCCAGTTTCCTTATTGGGAAAGAGAGATAACAATTTCTACATAATATAGCCCTGGTGGTGCAACAACTGCTAACTGAAATTTCGGTTGACGGTTCAAACCCACCCAGGGGCTCTGCGGGAGAAAGACCTGGTGATCTGCTCCTGTAAAGATTACAGCCAAGAAAACCCTATGGGGCAGTTCTACTTTGTCACATGGGATCGCTGTGAGTGGGAATCAACTTGACAGCATCCAACAACAACATAGATCAATGGAAGATTTTAGGGAAAAAATAGATAACTTACAGAGCATAGAGCTTAATGATAGCTCTGATTTATTGAGCATCTACTATGTGGCAGGCCCTCTGCTAGCTGTTTTACATGTACTCACCTTTTTTCTGTTCATTCTTATAACAATCCTTCCAGGCAAATATTATTATTTTACAGATGACGAAGT